GTGAGTGAGAGCTGACCCGAATTGAGTCGAATTATTTATTTAATTTCCGGAAGGCATATAATTCTTTGATTGCTTTACTAACCTGAATCATCAAAAGGAGCGAGTTTGTTGCTGTTCTGATTAGTTGTAAGAATTGGAACTGATTTCAAGTGGTGTAACGGTTGTTACTGTTATGTATGTTACTGTTAGTTATGGGCTTTTAAGTGCTGTATCAGATGTGACTCTTATGCTAATTTATATTACTGTTTTTTTTAAAGGGTACGGTAATGTATATATTTTTGGTTTGTGAAGAGAGGGTGGGGTAATACGAATTTATGCTGTAAACATTCTAGGAAATGACTTACGAATAGGCAATTCCTTACGTTTTGTATTGCTATAAGGCTCGGAACTCTTAGCCGCTATGTCGATTTTGTTAGGGCGGTATTAGACCTGTAAAGAGGCCGGGTCTAGTTTTAGCCGAGCCTAGCGGGTCCTCCCCCCCCGAGTCTAGACCGGTTAGGAAGTTCACAGAGAAAGATGGTATAATCAGCTTTTATAGAGCAGAGTTAGGTGCCTGAGAGTCAGGTAAGGTTACAGTATTTTTGTAGCACGGTATGTTTCAAAAAAACTACGCAATGGCTAGCTCATGAATTACAGTGTAATTTAATAGGTTACTGTAGATTAAAAGACAGGGCACGGCTAAGTAAGGCTATTTAAAGTAGGGTAGGATAGGGCAGGGTAGAGTAGGGCAGAGCAGGGTAAAGTAGGGTAGGGTATTGTAGGGCAGGGCAGGGCAGGGTAGGGTAGGGTAGGGTAGGGTAGGGTAGGGTAGGGTAGGGTAGGGTAGGGTAGGGTAGGGTAGGGTAGGGTAGGGTAGGGTAGGGTAGGGCAGAGCAGGGTAAAGTAGGGTAGGGTATTGTAGGGCAGGGCAGGGCAGGGTAGGGTAGGGTAGGGTAGGGTAGGGTAGGGTAGGGTAGGGTAGGGTAGGGTAGGGTAGGGTAGGGTAGGGTAGGGTAGGGTAGGGTAGGGTAGGGTAGGGTAGGGTAGACTTAGGACAGGGGATTAAATATAAAGGAATGGTTTTCAGATTATGCTGTAAACATTCTGGAAGATGTCTTATAACGCTCCGCGGGATCACAAAAATGTTTTGTTTTTGCGATGATTTTTTGTTTTCAAACGAGGATTTTTACGACATTCGTTCGCTTTTCGAAATTTGAAGGAAAAATAAATAAAAGCAAAGGTCTGATAAAAACATACCGTAATGAAAAACGTAATTGATAATTTTTTATTTTTTAAATTATGAAACTTTTTTTTTAAAGTGCGCAGGGGGGTGAGGGCAGGGGGTTGTTAAGTTTTTGGAGGAATATTTCATATTTGACAGACCGGTGGTGACAAATTATATAATACTCTGTGGATGTCTTTATGTTTTGTACAGAAAGTTCTTGTCATTTTTTAACTTTGTAAAGAAAGTTCTTGCCATTTCCTGTTTTTTAGAGAAAGTTCTTGCCATTTTGCAATTTTTTTGGTAAAGAACGTTCTTGTCATATTTGACTTTTAAAGAAAGTTTTTGCCAATTTATCTTTTGTAAACAAAGTTATGAGCATTTTTGATTTTGTGACAATTGGGCTTGTGCTTATACTAGACATTAGGATAGGACGTAGGCTATGCTTGTAGCGAGGGCTAGGACTAAAGCTATGGCTAAGATTGAGCTTGGGCTAGGACGAAAACCTTTTTTTGTTTGATTTCTCAATATTAACCTACTCTACTTTATTAAAACAAAAAGGAATTTACTCTCAACTCCATTAATTTCGTAAAATTTCGTAAATTTCACAGTGCGTTGACAATAACTATTAATAATAAATTAAAAAGTGTTTTTTTACAAAATGAAAATTTGAAGGAATTTAATTTCCGCGCTAAACGGTCCGGTTATTTCACTCCTTTTTTATGACAACCTTTTTCCGCTAGCCGTTATGTTTGATTGGGCCTTTTTTGTTGTTGCGGTTTACTCTTTCCGGTATTCGAAATTCGAAAATTTTACGTTGACTTTGAATAGTTTTATTTGGACTTTTTGAAACTTTGGGTACAATTGGGGCGGTTGGGATTATTTCGGGAGCCTTGGATTGAAGTTAGGGTTAGGTTTAAGAGTAACAGTAAGGCTAAGGTTAAAGCGAGGGCTAGGGATATGACTAGGGCTTAGAACAAGACTAGAACTAAATCTCAAGCTAGTTTATATAGGGCTAGGACTTGAGCTAGGTCCCAGGCTGTAACTTAGGTTAGGGCCAGGTCTTAGACTAGATCTAGATATTGAGGTGGGACTCTGGCTATAAATTAGGCTAGGGCTAGAACTTGAGCTAGGACTCTGGCTAGACCTTAGCTAAGGGCTTTGACTATGCTCATGGCTCAAACCAGAGTTTAAGCTAGGACTTAGGCTAGGGCTTAGGCTAGTTATTATGCTAGGGCTTAGGCTAGGGCTTGGGCTTTGGGTAGGGCTTAGGCCAGGGTTTAGGCTAGAACTTAGGCTAGGACTTAGGCTTAAGATTAGGCTTAGCCTGGCGCTAGAGTTAGGCGTGCTTTTTTAGCTAACAGTGTCTCTGATAACACCTCTTGAAAAATACTCTAAAATTTAAATTTAACACGTAAAGTATGATCCTCGTCATCCTTTACATTCCCTCTTTTTCTATTACATCTTCTAACACCCCTAGAGCCTCTCTTCTTTTTACTGACGAATGGCTCAACCCTCGTTGTCCAATTGCCAAAGCCTTTGCTTTCGTGATCATTGGAATAAGAGTTCATGCGCGGTTTGTTCGTATACGGCATTCCGTTACGAATTGCACGTAGAGTTCGTGCGAACAGGTAATCGCCGGGATATACGAGATCTTTGAAGGTGAAAAAGTGTTGCCTAAAAAGAGGGTTGGGCTTGGGAGATTTCGGTATAAAAGGACGAAGAGTTTGGCATTTTAGGCAGTTGGGTGGTGTGAAGATGGTAGGGAGGTGAAGGCGAAGGAGTAAGGTAGTAGGGATATGTTGAGATCTAGTAAGGTGGTAAGGTATTTTGCCATTGTAAGTTGGGGACTAATATTATTTTGCCATTGTAAGTTGGGGACTAATATTAAATTTAATATCTCTTGTTATTATGGGTTAAAGGTAGGGTGGGATAGGGGATGCCAGGACAGGGTACTGTACGGCAGGGTAAGGTACAAAGAGATGTAAAGGTGTTGCGGTAAGGTAGTAAGACAAGTTTGAGGTGTTTTAGAAAAAAAATATGTTGTACCACATCATGATGGTTATTATGATACCTACCTTTACTGTATTTCCTGTAGGCGTGAGTAGATTAACAAATTTTTATCATGTTATGAGGAGTACTATACGGTAAGGAAGAAGTAGGGCTTGTAAAAGTTGGCTAAAGAACTGATGTGGCTAGGACATAGTAGTTTAAGATTAGGACATAGCTAGGGTGCGTCAAGCAGAGTATGTCTTGGTCAGGGTAGGGTAAAACGGGAGTGGATTAGCGAATGTTCTCTAAAATCTTAGCACTATACTCTGACTTTCTTATTGCAGTCTCCTAGTTATAATATATAGGGTCTCGCAGGGTAATATAGTATCAAAATTGTTAAGATATGTCATTTTTTTTACTATCAAAAACATTTTTTGCTGTTTCAACTTTAGAAAACTATAAAACTTGATCATTTGCACTTTTCAAAGATCATTGTCACTAACCTTTGCCGATCAATGATTACTATGCGATGGCATAGTAATCTCTCCTACTTTTACTTATTGATAGACTGAGTAATAGTAAAAACTAGTATATGTTAGAGGGTAAAATGATATAGTAAGGCGTTTTTATAAAAAAAAACTTTATGGTTGATTTAAAAATGGCATTTAATTCGCATTTTAGGCATTATTTGAAGGAAAAATGACATTTATCATTTATTAAACAGGGTTTTGATATTTTTTTTTGTAAAATACGGGTGTCCGGGTAGTTCCATTAAAATTTTTTAAATTTAAAAAATTGTCATAAAATGACATTTAAAAAAATTTTTTAATTTGTCAGAAATTGACTTGAAAAGCTCAGTTAAAAGTCAAAAATATTTTTTTGTCAAAAAATGTCATAATCTCATAAAATGACATTTAAAAATGTCATTTTAAAATGTCAAAAAATGACATTTTTTCAAAATTTTTCAATTTTTTAAAAAAATTGTTTTCACCGTGACAAAACTTATCAATCCTCCTCATAAACAGTTAAAACCTTTTTTCGAAACTACAAAAACGGTTATTGTAAAAGCCGCGAAGAAAGTTACTCGTTATTGTCTTTTGTTTCCGAACAATTACCCATTTTTCCAACGAAAAACGACGAGTTTTCTCGACGTTTCGTCAAGTCTACCGAATTCCGATCCGGGTTTTTCGATCGAACTGGCCAATTATAGTGTAGACTACAGTTTTGGCTGGGTTCGGATGTCCGGAGTTTAATGAATCGCGATAAATTTGCGTTGAAATACGATTTTTTCGAATTTTACGCGGATTTTGCTCGAGTTTTTTTTGTTTGTCGAGGGGTTTTTGCGAATCTAATGGGTAATTTTGGATGTTTTTAGGTATGATTGTTATAGTAAAAGTATTAGAGAAGAGTTTAGAAGGTATTACAAGTTTAGTTTTAGCCCAAATTTAGGCTAAAATTGGATTTTAGCTGCGTTTCTTCAAATTTGGCCTAAAAATTTGGGAATGCCATTTTCAATGAATTTTTTCACGATGCCAAACACAATATACCTTAACATTCTTTACATCACCTCAAAGCCAAAAGTATACTCTTTCTAACGCGTATAAACGTCTTTTACATTTCGCCCAATCCCGCGTACAACAACTCATTTACCTCGATATTACCCATGTTACTCAAGTGTAATATAAAATTTAATGATTATTTATTTTCAGATAACTACAAGAAGATAACAATAGACTAACTAGTTAGTTCTATTGTTTTTACACGCTACATAACTTATTTTTCATCAGTAGAACATTAGAATTCAGAAATGCGCCGACTTGAAGCAGCATTCGACTGGTATGGACGGCTGATCGCTAGACACCCATTGCCGTTTTTGGTGAGTTAATACTGCATTTTTTGTTGATAAAATAGTTTTTTGGGTTTGTTGGCTTTGTTTTAAATTTGTTTTTGAAATTTTGCTATGGAAGGCTAGGGTAATATAATGTTTTGAAGTTTTGCGGGTTAATTTTTGGTGTCAATATTAATAATTTGTGTTATATCTTCTTGCAGACTGTAAAATAGATATGAGAACATTACTAAAAACCTCCTTTAGGGTCTCTGGGTTATAAGAATTAAGTTTTTAGGTAACAAAATGTTGAAAAACATAAACTATCCGGGTATTTTGTAGGTATACTTCCATTAAAATCAAGTTTTCTATAAAATTAAATGTTTTTTGGTAAAATACGCGTTTGACCAGTGTTAGTTTACAACTAATAGTTTTTTAGGTGTTTCCAATTCTCACAACATTGATCTCATGTGTCGGACTATTCAATTTCCATTCACAAGATGACATTTGGGACATTTATGCGCCATTAAACGCTTTAAGCAGGGTGGAAGAGCATGGAATGAACAGATTTGAGCACATCTCAGCTACTCATCATTATCGGGTATGTTTATCATTGTGATACTTAAAATTTTGTAGAAATTAAAAAAAAATTTTTTTGTTTGAAATTTTAAATTTAAAAAATTTTTTATTAAATTTTTATTAAATATGTTATATTTCAGATCCAAGTGCTGGTTGACCGAAAAGATGGTGGTAATTTGATGACACATGAGGTACTCAATGAGCTAGCCGCAGTAAATCGATTTATTGTCGAAAATGTTACAGTAACCGACGGGAAACGGCATTTCAACTACGATCAAATTTGCGGAATCTACTGTAATGAGAGCAATGCTCTTGTCATTGGATTTATTCAGGTATGTTTCTCCTCTTATTATACACCTACTCTTAATTTGCATTTCGTCTACCTAGTATCGATTTTTTAAATTTTATTATTAAACCTTACTTTATCTTATATTACACTTTTAGGCAGCCATGAACAATCCAGAAGGATCAACAAACTTTGTTCTAACTTATCCAACCGCTGTTGCTTTGAGTAACAGTGTCTTCCTTGGGTATTCATTGGGAGGCTTGACAACCAAGAAGGTGGATGATATGGACGTTGTGGACTCTTTCAACCTGTTCATTTTGCATTATATGGTAAGAATGATATCTTAAATACATTTGAAGGTTATTTTGAGTGTTTTACTGGTTTTGTTTGGGCATTAAAGTGATCGTTTTGAGGCCAAGCTGAGAGGAGAAGACTTGATATTTTAATATTATCTTGGTTTGAAGGGTTTTTCTGTGCTTTTTTGGCCCAACTTAAACAGATATTGATGTGTATTAGCTAGATTTTTTATTATTTAACCTAGAAAATCCATATTTTTTACTAAAAATATTACTTTAGGTCGATCTAAACCTCCCAAATGGAAAGCAACTTCGTGACAACCTAGAAGACAAGCTTCTCCACATTTTCGAAGCCGCTACCGAAGAATCCGAAGCTCTAAACTTTGCTTTATTAAGCAGAAACCGTGAGCTCTACGAACAACGTCAAATTACAATCACAGCGATTCCATTTCTGGGACTTACTGGTGCTGTTCTAACTGCTTTCATGGTAGTAACACTGTTGGATGACCCATTGTACAAGTCTCAATGTGTTGAGGTGAGTTTTTGGAGGTTGTAGGCTTATTTTATGGTATATGAAGGTGATTTGGATAGTTTTTTGGTTGGTCAAAAAATTTATAGAATGGGGCTTTATATCTGAGCTTGGTCCCCCCTGTGGATTTTTCGATGAATTTTTTGACCGAAAATTTCAAAAAATAAATTTTTATTTTCAGGCGGTTTTTGGAGTAATATCACCTGGAATGGCTCTGATTACGACATTTGGCATGGTATGGGCAGCTGGTCTCCCGTTCTCGAACATTCTCACTGTTGTGCCATTTTTGGTCATTACTATTGGAATCGATGACGCTTTTTTGATTTTGGCCGGATGGAGACAGTCAAAGTGAGTGATCTAGCCTTAGTTTACTTTACCTTACCCTACTTGACCTTACATTATATTAAATTACCCTACCCTACCTTGCTCTATCTTATCCTACCTTACGCTGTGCGCTGTCTACCTATCCTACATTACCTTACTATAATATGATATTTTCAGTCCAAACGCAGACTTCTCCACTCGAATGGGTGAAAGTCTGGCCAAATCAGGAGCGTCAGTATCAGTTACTTCAATAACTGATGTGTTATGTTTTGGAGTTGGCATCATCTCTAACATGCCAGTAGTACAACTCTTCTGCATTTACGTCTCTATAGCTTTGGCTGTGGACTTTATTTTCCAAATCACCTTCTTTGCTGCTATTGTCGCTTACTGTGGTAAAAGACAAATGGAGATAGAAGAACATGTTAAGAATGGTAGTACTGAGAGCTCGGTAAGTTTTTTGGGAAATATTATTGTGTTCAATTAATTCTGTGCCTTTTTAATTTGAAATTTTTTATGAGAGGGGCTTAGTAGTATTTGAACAAGGTACATATGGGGCACAGAATTATTTGAACAGCACAAAGAACAAAAAGTTAGGCTTAGTCATCATGTTATAGTAGTATATGCCACTGTTTTAGACCAACGGAAGCATCTCCTCACGAGGATCATGGCGAAAACATCTGCTACGAAACGCCGAACGAATCAAGAAGGTATTCAGCTCAAAACCCTCATCCACAACCTCATCTCAACTCGATCTACCGTCAAGTATCTCAGTGGAACATCACGGTACCTATCTTCAATGCTTTGTCAACGCTTTACACTCCTTGCCAATCCAACTGCTTATCATGTCAATCTTTCTGGGACATGTTGTGATCAGTGTCTACTACTGCACCCAGGTCAACACCAACTTTGACATGGAGAACTTGTACTTGAAGGCGTCACCACTGACGCCAATCTCTAGAAGAATGCAGAGATTTGTGCTGAAAGAGAGTTTTGTAGTCAATTTTGTGGTCGATCCTATGCCGGAATTCAAAAGCCAAGAAGAGAGGGATCTATTTCATCAAATGATCGATGAGTTGGAGAATATTCCCAAGTATGGCATGGGCAAAAAGGGCAGCAATGTCTGGACAAGAGACTATGAACAGGTAAAGAAGGGGCTTTGAAGAGGTTTTTAAGGATAAAAATGAGTTTTTAAGTTCTAGAGGCCTTGATTTTTTACATATTTTGAATTTCAGACCGCCGAATACTTCCCAATGGAAGAAGAAGAGGACATTTGGGAACCAACTGTAGTACTGAAAAACTACAAATTGTTCAGTTTGGACACTAAAAACATTCATACATTGTAAGTAATAATTATTTATTTATTTTTTGACACAATAGCATGATTTTTGATGGCAAATTTTAAAAAAAATTGGTGGAAAGAAAGTTCTTGCGGTTTTCGAAATTTTTAAAAATGTTTATGAAAATTGAATTTTTAAGTAAAAGTTTTCAAGCCTAAAAGCATAGTTTGAACATGTTAAAACTTGATTTTTGAGTGGAAAGAAAGTTCTTGCGGTTTTTAAATTTTTTAAAAATTTTGAAAAATTTAAAAAAAAATGCCATTTTATGTTAAATTGAGGCCTAAAAATCTTAATTAAAATTAAAAAATCGTATTTTAGATTCAAAAACGGTGAACAGGTGATAGACGCCTTTACTTTCCACATTACCTATCACAATATGGAGAACTTTAATGAGGTCGAGGAATTGCTAACCAAAAGAAGAGAGATTCTGAAAAGATATGGCAAGAAATTCCATATTATGTCACACCACCCATTGGAGAAGGTACCAACGGAAAGTGCTGCCAGTGCACCTATTAACTTCATTCAGACTGCTGGTAAGGGGATCTTTTAAATCTTATTCTATTTCACCCTATCCTGCCTTACCTTACCCTATCCTACCTTACCGCACCCGACTCTGCCCTACCCATCCTTATCCTACCCTGCCCTACCCTACTTTGTCTTGCCCTGCTTTACTCTACCCTACCTTACTTCGCTCTATCTGATTCTACTTGACTCTAATCTAACCTTTGTTACTCTTTCCTGCCTTGCTTTCGAATATCCTACCTTGCTCTGGTTTCTTGAACTGGGGTGTCTTGTCTTGTCTTGCTTTGCTCTGCCTTGGTCTACCTATTCTTGCCCTTACCTTTACTCTTACCTCTAACTCTACTTGTACCTTTATTTTTATTGCTACCCTTACCCTTATTTCTATTCTTTCTTATATCTTAACTTCTACTTGTAATTCTACCTTCACGGCTACTTCTATTTATCAAATTTGCATTTAATTCACCTAGTATCGATTATTTAGTTTTTATTATTGCCAACTTAAACTATACCCCTTTCTCTACTCTACTTTACTTCTTACCTTTACTTCTGTTCTGGTCGTTGTTTCTACCGCTAACCTACCCTACGCTACACTAATTACCTCTACTCTTACCGTACTATTTACTTCCAAGTTAGCCTTACACATACCCCTATCTTAACCCTACTATCACCTTCAACCTACTTATTAATATTTTTTTTATTTTTAAAATTTAAAATTTTTTTACTAATTTATACCTGCTTTCAGTATCAGCCATCGTTCTCATGTCGATTCTTGTATTCTTCTTCATAATGGATTCAGAAGCCATCTTCTCGGTGGTTTTATCAATTCTATCGATCAGTTCAGGAACTGTAGGATACCTTTACTTATGGTCGGTCAACTTGGATGCGGTTTCTTTGATTAGCATGTTGATGAGCATTGGCTTCAGTGTGGATTACAGTGCACACGTGTGCTATCATTACTACACTCATCAGCCGAAAAGTGGCAAAACTGTAGGTTTTATATGATTCATGACAACTTTTGGGTGTTTTTTCATGTCTTTGATTAAAAATGGCTTGTTTTTTTAAGATATTTATGATATTTTTTTAAAGTGACATGTTATACGATGAAACATGTTTTTTTGAAAAATTTTTAAATTTGAAAAAAAATGAAAATTTTGTTTTTTTAGTTGAGAAAATTCGTATTTTACATTTAAAATGACTTTATAATTGTTATTTTTGCATATTTTGCTATAGTGACATGTTATACGATGAAACATGTTTTTTGAAAAGTTTAAAAAATGCCAAATTTGATTAACTTTTAGTACTAAAACAATATAAAAATCATTTTCAGCGACAAAGAGCCACCTCAATCATGATAACCGACGGAGAAATTTACAAAATTTCGGAAAAAGTCGACCAAAACATCGCCTTACCCCTACCAACTGTACCAGTGGTACCAAAGCAGAAAAAGGAGAAAATCGACACACACGAACGACTACTACACACCTTCTACGGTGTTGGCTGGCCCGTAATCCAAAGTGGCTTGTCCACCGTGCTCGGCATGATCCCATTGTTCTTCGTGGACGCGTACGTTGTAGCCGTCTTCTGGAAGACGATCATCCTGGTGACGGCGTTGGGCATGTTCCATGCGTTGTTTCTACTGCCGGTGGTGTTTGTGTTCATGGGGAGGTTCAGGAATTTGTTTAGACAGTAGATATAGGCATGTTAAGGTCTGAAGGTTAACATAATTTTTCTACTTGATGCGAAAAGAATGGCGTGTCGAAATTTTTAGAACATTTAAGAAAAGTTGTTTTTATTTACACGCCATTCTTTTTGCATCGAGTTACAGTACTTTTTTGTATTTTTGTATTACTATGAATTGTTTTTGTATCTCACTACAGTGTGACGTAATGTGAATATTGCTATTAGTCTCCGGTCTGAACCTCGAGAATCAAAATCCGGTTTTTACTGTGTCTTTAATACATATTAACATGCTATATAGTATCTCATGTTTGTACGGTATCTTTGTATTGAGTTGTTAAAAAAATTCTGAGCTATCTAACCTCGCATATTTGCTTTGGTAGGGGCTCAGAATATTTTGAACAAGCTGTATTTATGATATATAGTTATATATATAAAGTATATATAGATATATATCATATACGTATAGATATATGTAGCTTTATGTTGTAAGCTTCATATCATCCTATGTTGTTATATGAAATGTCATAGCAATGAAATTATGTGAAAGAACATGTGATTCCTGATGTCTTTCTAACATATCATATTGTATATTGTAGTAATTTACTTCCAAAGTCATATGACATTGTGGTATGTTCAAATATCAGCCAATATTGGCATAGTTTGGGGCATTATTGCGATATACTTTAAGGCATTACTTTGGTATCTTGATATGAAAGTTCTAAACATTAACACATCATGGTATGTTATTGTCATACCAACATACTATATGATGTTCTATGATCATATCAATATACCATGATGTCTTAAAGCTATATACTAACATACCGTGATGCCTTACACCAATGTCAATGTATATTACTCTACCCTGATGTCTAGTAGTGTTCATACAACACATTTCCTCTTGTTTACCTTATCTATCTTCACCATGTACGGGTCTCATTCACCAATTGTAATTACACTTTCTCACTGTATATATTGCATTTTACATTCTCACACCCATTTCATATCACAATGTACTTACTCATGCTCAGTTTACTAGATTCAATCTTGCCATTTTATTCCAAGAAGTAAAGGAGTTTTAAAGTGGTTGGAGTTTGGAGATAAGTAATTTCGAAGGATTTTTGGACAATTTTATTTCTTATGTTAGGTAGAAAATGGCAATAATATAAGAGTTTTTATGTTGGACATTTTTGATTGTTGAATGTGGTAGGGTTGGAGCTAGGTTGTAGCTAGAGCAGGGTCAGAGCTAGGCTAGGGCAGAGTCAGAGATAGGTCATGGATAGAGAAAGGTCAGAGCTAGGCTAAAGCTAGACCAGGGTCAGAGCTAGACTAAGGCAGAGTTAGAGCTAGGTCATGGATAGAGAAAGGTCAGAGCTAGGCTAAAGCTAGACCAGGGTCAGAGGTAGCCAGGTTTAAAGTTAGAGCTAGGCTAGTACAGAGTTAGAACGAGTCTAGCGCCAGAGCTGCAGCTGGGACTAGAGCCAAGGATAGGTAAAAGGACGAATGACATTACATTTTATACTGGAGTGAGGTATAAAATGGCATTAAAAAATTTTTTAAAAATTTTTATGTTTGAAATTTTATATCGTATAACATGTGACTTTTAATATTATTGTAAACGGAAGTACAAGCAGCTTCTATTTTTGGCTAAACTGACGTAGGTTAATAACATTTCTAAATATAGTGTCATCTTTATTGACTTATGACATGGCTTACAATATTACAAAGTATAGGAAATGGTGTCGTATAAACGTATGAAGATGTAAATATTATTGTACTGGTTTTGTTTTGTAATGAGGAAGTGGTATCTGGTGTGGTTTTAGATGACAGTTTTAATATTGAAGTTTATTGATTTTAAAGGGGTGTGTCATTTGCTTTGTTATTACATTTTTATTAAGTGAACTTTAACGTTACTGTACTGAACATGTAATATTAACTGTATAGTACTCGGTATATTATATATTGATGTTTTTACTGCAGGTATGGAAGCCGTGTAACTGCTGCTTTGTCGTTTTTAAAAAATTTTTTATTGGTGCGAAGGTCGGTTATTAGCTATCGTACACAATATCTCAGGTAGGAATTAAAAAATGCTAGGGCAGGGTACGGAACTCAGGATAGGGTAGAACAGAAGAGGGCATAGCAGATAAGTTTATGACACCGTATAATAACATAAAGCAGGACAGGGCAGGGCAGTCTAGAATATTTTAGGGTTGAATACGGTACGTTTTGAGATGGACGGTTAGGGTAGGGAAAAGTAATATACAGTAGAGTCGGGCAAGGTTATGGAAAAGTAGGGGCAGGGAAGGGTAAGGCACGGCAAGGAAAGTTAGATTAGGGCAGGTTAGCGTATGGTAGTCTAAAGTAAAGTAGGGCAAGGTGGAATACTGTAGAGTAAGTAGGGTAGGGTAGCGTAGGGATTTATGAATAAGTCATAAATTGTATTTTACTATCTCACTATAGGTCATGAGTTGTTTATGTATGTGACCAGTATAGTCGTTTTTCGTTGAGCCGAAGGAAAACGTAGGCGTTACAACATAACATTTCGAATTCTCACGGGGTAATTTGTGGTGTCCGGTATTTGGTTTAAGCTTTACTATATATGAAAACACGTGTATCGGTTAGCTATTACTGTTTGTAAAGGTACGATGATTTTTTCGTGCTGATTTTAGTTGAATAATAACACAATGGAACCCCTGTATAACGAATCTCTCGAGGATTTTGAAATTTCTTTGTTATAAAGGAGTTTTGTTATTCAAGAGTTTTTGCAAGTGGTTTGTTTTACAGAGGTTTCGTTATAGAGGAGTTAGTTATACAGGAGTTCTAATGTATTGTAGTATGTTTAAAAATAGCATGGTTAATCTTGTCTGGGTATGTATGTACATAGATGTATATGTTTATTATTTCTATACATATTGACAAAACGTTCCAGGAAGGCTTTGTATTTGTAATCTTCAGACTGATTAAGATGACATTTCTGTTGTTGTTTGGGTGTTATTTATGCGTTTCGTTAGATGTATGTGTTATATTTTGCTATTGTATCTATACACATCTTATTTTCTTAATCTTGGCTGGTTTACTATATTGTGAGGAAATGCTGAATAAGATACTGACTGGTTTGGTAATACCATGATAATAGGGTTATCATGTTGTGATAGTAGGGTAGGGGAGGCCAAGGGTATATATTGTAGTAGGGGGAGGCAAGCTTACGGTATAGGTGGTATGCAGGGCCGGGCGCTGGGGGGGAGGGTAGGCGGAACCCTTTCCCTCAGAAAAAAAATTTTCGAAAAATGTTGAACGTGGTCCCCCTGTGGATTTTTGGAAAACCTGTGCCGATTTTTTTGACCCCCGCCCCCAGACCAAAAGTCCCCGCCCGGCACTGGTGGTATGGATTTATGTTAGGATTGAGTTTGCAAAGGGTTACGAGAAAGGTATGTTAAGGTGAAGCATAGCTATGGTAGGCTTTGGTATGGTACGAAAATGGTTAAGATGTCGTAGTCTAGGGTGTGGTAGAGTTCAGTATGTAAAGTAGGGTGAGGCTATATTAACTATTAATAATATAGTGCAATTCCGTCTTTGTAGAGCTTATTATGTATTTTTATGCAAATACTTTGGCAATTATTTGTAGTTACATTTTTGGTGTTTGTAGTACAAATGTCACACCTTTCTTAAGGTATCGGTTTTGTCATATTTTTATGACATAGGTAGTGATATGTGAGGTTTAAGTATGCAAGAGTACAATAATTTACAAGGTAATTAGGCGTTGAATAAAAAAAGGATAACGAAGGTCTATCAGGTATAATATAAGGTATGGTAGATCTTTTGGTACCTATCTGACAGGATATAAGACTAATAAGAGGTACTATTAATATATTGACGTTTTTGTGTTGAGTACAGTATTCTAGGGTAGGATGCGGTAGATGCATGGGATGGAAGTGAAGAGTGAAGGTATTGGTAGAGTAGGATATGGTATGGTAGGGTACAGTATTACCAAAAACCCTGATATTTTTACTCACAGTCTTATTTATACTGGCAGTATCGGAAGACATTTCTCGGGCTGTATATTTGGTTGTTTTTACTACGTCCGGTATTGTTTGTTTAGTGGTGCCATCGAATTTCCTGAATATTTACGGCGTTTAAGTAATACCTAATTAATTACACGCCCACAGCAAAAATAAAAGAAAGATCATTTTTATAACATTACGACTACTAGACCAGAAAGAAGGGCTGACTAGGCTCGGTTTAAATAAAGGTTTGTCTCAATTGGGCTCGAGGGCCGTGGCTTAAAACAAGGTCACAGGGGTTCAGCTTAGGTCTCGCAACGAAAGATTTGACTTGCGAAAATTGTAAAACAAATGGTTTGGAGCCGGACTGAAGGACTGGGCTTGGCTAGGCCTTTTTATTAGTCAAGTGACTACAATGTCATGGCTAAATATAGGCTTATCTTTTGAAGCTTATATTCCTTGAGGAGTGGTCGCTGGGTAGGGGTAGGGATAGAATGGGGGTGAGTGAAAAATTTTTTGGGGACTACTAGTTTCTAAGGGTAGTTATACAATGGGCGATATGTTATTTTTACAGCTTTTTGTTTATGAGGGCGGGTGGGTGTGTGAAAAAAATTTTTAAAGGCGGGTGGGTGTCTGAGAGGTCCATTAAAGTACTGTTTTTTGGTCTTTTCAAGATAAGCGCTAATATAATATTAATATACATATTTGCAAAATTCGTTTGTACTTATATTTTGTCTCTGGTCCATATATTAACCTTGTACCGAATCATTGATGATGTATTATATTACTTAGTACTATTTTTCAAAAATTATTTTTAATGCTTTACATATTTACGTTGCAATAACAGAACAGTAATAATCCTAGTGACACATCTGCATTTTTACTGTAGGCCAGCTCATGACTTGTAAGAGGGCTTACTAGGTCTGGATCGGCTTTGGACTCGGCAGATGCAGATTTGAAGGCCAGGCTAGCCTGTAAGTCCGTGGGTTTGGGTTCTAACTAATAATTT